TGTCCATGCACCTTTAGCCTAGGAAGGAAGGATTCCTTCTGCTTCCTGCTTCATGTATCTATCTGGGTTCCTCATGTCCTTGCACCTTTAGCCTATCCTTTGGCTCTAGTCAAATGCATAAAATTAGTGATTCATGCGCATTGCTAGAAATAAACACCTGCTGCGAGGCAATGTTCAGATACCGACAATTTAACTTCTCTCGCTTTTTATTTTAGTCTTTTAAACAACAACGATATTTCTTACATCGAGCCTGGGGCAATGAGAGGACTAACACAGACCAGTCATGCGTAAGTCAATAATTTTCTACACTTCTACTTCTATAATACGTTCTTTAATATTACGGGGATCGATTTCATTCTCAGTCAATATGAGTGATATTAATAACTGTGACAAAAAAAAAACAACTCTAGTTTAATGTGAAAAATAGATATACTGTTGAATTGTGAGTAACAAATGGCTTTATCTAACCAGATTTTTCCATCACAATAAACTGACAAACATAACGAAGCGGGATGAGTTCCAAGCAATGCGTAACCTTGTGCTTGCGTAAGTATTTTCTATACAGTCAATTCAAAAAACGTTGTCGTCGACCGGGTCAAGCCTACGCGATTGGACCGAAAGGAATATGGGTAAAAATCACTGAAGCGGTTAAATATTCGTTCTGAATTAATTGTTCCCGCTAGTAATAAGATAATAATCAAATGCATGTCTTTGGGTTTAGGGAAAGAAAAACAAAGTAATTATGATTCAGTTCACAATTTCGAAAATATGAAGGCATTAAAAAAACGTCTCCTTCAACACTTCCCGCTCGCCTACGAAGGTTCGTGCTGTAAACCAGGCATAACTAGTCAGATAAAATTATGGAGTCAACTCGGCTTCAATGATTACTACCCATAGTTCCTTTCGGTCCAGTCGCGTAGGCTTGAGTTGGTCGACGACAACATTTTTTGAATTGACTGTATGTCTTTGTCCCTCAGTCGTGCTTTGCACGTAGCGTACTGTGATTTGCTGTGCCATGCGATGCCATGCCATGCCATGCTAGGCTAGGCTTTGTTGGTGTGGTGTGGTGTGTTGTGTCGTGATGTGTTGTGCGGAAGTGTTGTGTGATGTGGTGTGGTGTGTTGTGTTGTGATGTGTTGTGCGGAGGTGTTGTGTGATGTGGTGTGGTGTGTTGTGTTGTGATGTGTTGTGCGGAGGTGTTGTGTGATGTGGTATGAAGAGATGCGATGTGATGTGCGTATGCACATGCTATTACGTACTGTAGTTTGCTGTATCGCGCTGTGCTACACGATGCTATGCTTTGCTCTGTGTTATATTTATTCACTCTCATATATTTTCAGTTAATGTATATAATTGCCTTGCATTTCAATTTTCGTTTTCTTTAACATATTTCAATAGGATATTTTCGGACAACAAGATATCTAGCATAGAACCAGGATCATTTGTCATGACGCACATGACCTCACTGTAAGTAGATACAAGTATAGCCATTATATAAGACCAAAAAGTATTGTTAAAAGAGCATATTTTTTAAAATAACGTCTTGAGGGTAAATAATAATAATAATGATGATAATAATAATAATAATAATAATAATAATAATAATATAAACCTAATTATATTCACTTTGAAATCACTGGGGATTTCTGCATTTTGATCGTTTCTCGCACTGTTTTGTAGAGCCAATTAATTTGCAGAAAACATATCATTCGACCAATCATATCATAGGGGGGGAAAAGCCAAAAAAGCATGAGAAAAAATAATTGAGGATTTTCTAGTTGTAGTACAGTTATGTTAAATTTCTTTTTTTACAGGAGATTTCAAAATAGATAAAATTAAGTGGTAATTGAACTTCGTGTCGTGCAATTTTGGTCTGAAATCAAACTTGTGATTAACAAATTGCCCTCTACCCATTTCAATTACCATTATTTATTAGACATGGAAAATCTTTCAGCTGTAACACTGATTTACAAAGATGCTGTCTTGGGAAGTAAGAGCTATTGCTAGTTTTCACATGACGTCATCAGAACATCAAAATCTAAACTATAGATCGTATAAAGACATTTCTCAAGTATGTTTTAGAAGTCAGTGTTATAAGTCACAAGAAAAAATCTCGAGTCATTTCGATGTTTGGTTCCCGAGTTATGAAGGTTGAGTTTGTGTCACGCAATACCGTCACGCCTATCTAAATAGCGATGAAAATATTAAAATAATTTACTTTAGTTGAAAGATTTTCCCTTATACACGTTTAAAATATCTATTTAAAGTATATTTAAGTGAAAAATAGCCAAACATATTAAATATTCCATCATTTTAAGACTTTGGAATTTCGTCCGCCATGATGGTATACCAACTTGGAACACCAAGATGGCCGCTCCATACATTTTAACCAGAAATTGCGTCATGTTTACTCGCCTATAGTTCCGCAACTAAATGCTTAACAGCCTTAAAATTTGGCCAGTATACGTAGTTTGGACCGCTTTACAAGAATATAAAACTTCTATTTCATTATAATGCGAATTTACGCTTTTGAAATTCATGATGACGTAGGTGAAAACCAAGAATATATTATATTCACTTTCTCTTACAGAGTGGTTTACAACAACAAGTTATCTTCAGTCAACATTAATGTCTTCAGTGGTTCTGTAATCCCACAAAATGGAGTCTCTATTTTCATGTGAGTTGTATTCATTTTTTCATCACTTATTTATCACTTGTTGACTAAAGTTAGAATTTTTGCATACGAAGGTTTGCAGAAAGTCTACTCAAGTTTACTGTCCAAACAAATGAGTTGGGGGAAATCCTGAATACAACTGGTTTCCTCTGCAGCAAGATTGGGTACTGTCATCCATGCGCTAGAGGGACATACTCTATTGGTGATGGCGTAACCACGGGATGTGTAAAATGTCCTGCAGGTAAAAAATCGTATGATACAAAAGTGGTAATTACAGAACAATTCTGCCCGTGATAAGAATTTCACGGGATGTGTAAAATCCCCTGCAGGTGAAACGTATCATCTTCTGAATTGGCTTCTCTTCTCGCGCCCATGAATGAATCGATACTTTCAATGAAGGCATTGAAGGAAACACTCCAATCCCTTCAGTGTGTGTATCAATGAAATGTGTGAAATGAAATGAAATGGAATGGTGTTGCCCCTTGTAGGGGACAATTGTTCTTTTGTGTAGCACCTGCCTCATGGCAAATTATCTAAAATGAAAATTTTTAAAAATGTTTAAATCTCGACATCTGCTTTGGCATGCAATCACTGCCCCTCGTGTGCTGCTACCAACTAAAAACTAAAACACCATATGTCATGAACATGGTAAATACTGTAAACAATTTTCGTTTAGAACAAATTCTGCCGGTACGTGATAGGAATTTCACGCGATGTTTGAATTGTTGCGCAGATAAAATATCGTATGATATGAAAGTTGTAAATACTGTTGGCCATTTTGATGTTATGTGTCAACCACTTTACCAGGAACAATAAAATGTAACAATCGCAATCTCGGCTCTCATCTCATTTTATGGACAGCTCGATCCACGGAGATGCAATTCATTTTTGTTGTTACTTGCAGGAGGTTTCTACCAGGACTCGGTAGCTGCGGTTGGTTTGACTTCACATGGTAATGGATGTAAGGAATGTCACCAAGGAACCTTTGTGCATCCAAAAAACGCACCAGGAATATTACTATCAGACTGTAATGCTTGCCCTGAAGGTAAAGATGAATGTATAAGATTTGATTTGATTTGATGTAATGTGATGTGATGTGATGAGATGTGATGTGATATGGTGTGATATTATCTGATACAAAATTATTGGTCATCTGTCACATTTGTTTCAATCTTTTAGGGACCAACACAACAAGTTTCGCTGGATTCAGGGCGTGTCCCTGTCTTAGAAACAGCTACCGTTTAGACCGCTTTGGCAAATGTTTCCCTTGTCCTGGTCAAGGGACCATATGTCAAAAGGACGTTGTTATTCTATCTCCCGGATATTATTGGTCCCTTGAGGGACCTGGATTTGCGATTCGAGAATATAAAGAACTGGTGGATAACCTGGAGATTGAGGGCGATGATTACGACAAAAACACCTCTGTTTACCACGGTTAGTAAGATTGCAAGTTGGACACTAATCGCAAAATTAAGTCCTTTAACAGACAAACAAACTAATGATTCCATAAATGTATGCACCGAATCATATTATAGCGACCAATTTGAATAACTATCATTCTGCACTGACAAGCGACTGACTAGCCTCGTGTTCACATAAAAGCGTTTTCACATGTATGAGAGGCTAGTCAGTCGCTAGTCGCAGAACAATAGTTATCCAAATTAGCCGCCATCTTTCAATTCGGTGTATATTGAATGTATTCGTGTTTTCATTGACAGGGGTCCTGCCGATACCACACAAGTGTCAACGAGCAGAATCGTGCAAGGGGGGTCTTCGTGCCGACTGCGCTACAGGCTATACGGGCCCCCTGTGTGCTGTCTGTTCTCATGGATACTACAAGCGCCTCCTTGAATGCCACACATGTCCTTCCAAGACAATCGCAGCTATTCAGATGTCAGGTGTATTCTGCGTGTTGGCTGTCATCTTTGTAGTACTTACCCGAAGCGACAAAAGATCCAAGTCATCGGGAAGGGCCACAACTGATATTTTTCTAGCGCACGTGAAGATCCTTCTTGGGTTTTACCAAGTGTTAGCTGGAATCCTTCAAGCCTTTTCGTACGTACAATGGCCCTCAGCAGTATCTTCTATCGGCTATTACGTGCGCTTCATCCAGCTGAATATTCTGCAGATCGTGCCATTAAGCTGTCTGGTTCCCAGTCTCAAAGTCAACGCGTACAGTGACTTTGTTCTAGGACTGGCAGGTAATGTGGTCTGCGTTGCCATGCCAATGTTATATTACATCATAAGGAAGCTGTGGTTTGACATCAAAGGTATCGATGCCAAAGATGCTCTGTTTGCTTCTAAACGTTCTTGCCTTCGTATGTCATTGTTCCTCTCGTTCGTTCTTTACCCATCAACATGCGTCAGAGTGTTTGAGATTCTTCCTGCCTCGTGCCACCAGTTATGTCCACACGAGGAAGCACGTGTTTGCCCAGCCTACTTGAGATCTGACTACACACTTGAGTGCTTCACCAAACAACACGTGAGGTTTTATTCCGCAGCATACGCGTCGCTGATTTACGTGATTGGGTTTCCTGTGGTATTGACTCTACTTCTTTGGAAATATCATTATAAGAACCTCCAAAAGGAAGGGTACGTAAACAATGATGAACACTAATTAAACGCGTTTGTTTACTGTATCTGGCTGATCTGAAATAGTGACGTATTAATGACGTCACTACAAAATGTCTTGAAGCCTGCAAAAATTGAAAAACTTAAAACATGTCAAATTCATCAAACATCTTTTCACTGTCATCAAGCACTTATTGGCAACGTCCAAAATTTCAAGAGGAAAAAATACACCTCAGTTTTGCAAATGTTCTCTATTTTGATTGGCTAACATTTTATCTCAGGCGGGTATAGGTGGTATAGGTACTGTATATTAGGTATACATCGTAATCATGTTATTGTTTGATTCTTTCCAGGCAAGTCAAAGACGTTACTCCCATCACATTGTCACTCAGTTTCCTACACGAGAACTATTCAAGCAAGTGTTGGTACTGGGAGGCAGTAGAAATGGCACGAAAAGTCATCCTGACAGCCGGCGTTGTGTTTATTGGCTCCCAAAGTCGAACCCAGATCGGCGTGGCTGCCATGACGTCAGCAGGGTTTGCCGTGCTTCATGCTCTATTCAGACCAATCCCAGACCTATTCGAGGATTACCTGCAGATGACGTCGTTATTGGTGACGTCATTTAATCTTGGGATTGGTGTGTTGCTAAAGGTGCCCTCAGATGAGAGTTATGATTCTGGTGTTGACCGTGGACAGGACGGTATTGGACTCGGGATTCTACTTGTCATTACAAATTCACTGGTCATAGCAATCGTAGCAGGTAAATAGACCTTTATATTGATACGGCGGCCATCTTGAATGATGGTATGCCGAGAGGGGCAAACAAGTAGAAAATTTATAAAGCACAGAGTAGCGGGTTATGTATTCAAATGATTTGAAGTTTTAATGTTTCGCATATTGTTCCAACTACCAGTAAGTTCGATTGCTTTTAAGATGTAAACCATTGAGCAATGAGAGAGCTCTCCTCTCACCAATGCAACCTTGGATCGATTCTCAGACTCGCTATCGTATGTGAGTGGGTTACTTGTTGGTACTCTCCTGTGCTTCGAGGGTTAGTCTCAGGGTTTTCCGGTTTTCCTCCCTCCGCAAAATCAACTTCTAAATTCCAATTGGAATTCACTGGATGAAGAGCCACTCTGTGGAAAAGCTACTGTTAAATCCCATTTTTTTAAAATTCATTTTTATTTTAACAAATAATATATATACTATAGTTGTGGCAAGAACCTCGCAAGTATCCTGTTATGTGATTATAGTCTAGAAAGGCCGTCAGTGGACGTAAGTTACCGATTCATGATCATAATTATTGAGGAATATTTGTAATCTCATTCATCAACAGTCCGCTACTTGGTTGGTTTTGGAAGATTATTGCTATCAATGTGCAATAACCCACAGTGTAATGTAAGCTGCTTTTTGACGTTTCTTCTCACCGTACAAGATGCACAGAACGAGATATACGACACGAGATTCAGAAACACAGTCAGCGCGCAAGTCACGGACAGCCTTGGCACGCCTAACTCTGCCATATCTGATATTGTCAATGAAAAAATCGAGATTGATTTGAAAGAACAAAAACAAGTAGAAGGAATTACAAATGGTGACGTCACGAAAATGGTTGAAGAAACAAAATTCTAATTTGAAGAAGAAGTAATCGGACGCGTACGAAGAAATTATCTTCTTCAAGTCAAAGAAAAAGATAAGACATTTTACTACCAATATTCCAAACAATTAGCCTGTACCTACCTACCCACTTATCCACTTACCCACTTACCCACTTACCCACCTACCCACCTACCCACCTACC